CCCCAAAACCCCAAAACCCCTAATACAAAATATTCTTGCAATTTTGGCAAATATTTTATAATAATTTAAAATGAAATTTTGCGAGGGAACTATTTTAGTCAAAGAGCAGATAAGTGGATCTCACACTTTATAAAATTCTTAGCTAGAGCTTAATCAGGAGCTTTTTGCTGAGTTTAAGGAAAAATTTTAGTAAAAATTGTCATTTCATTAAGTGCTAAAAATATCTTCTATCAAAGATCCTTTGAAAGAAATGAAGTTTACACTTCAAAGAGAGAATGACATGGAGATGGACATGGAATATTAGAAGAGATATCAGAATATTGGCTACTTTTATCAACTACCAGATGCATTCATTCTTATATATAAACCAGGTAACGATGATAAATACTGGAAGAATGTAGATTACCCTATTCTAAAGTAGTGGATTGAAACTAAAACGATGAAAAAGCAAGATTGGATAATGCTCGTTTAATTTGATATCATCAAAGCCATAGATTACAATGAAGTAAGTAATTTATACAGTATTCTTGGTAAATCATTAACATTAATAGAAAAAATTAAAGAAGATTTTTGAAAAAATCGTGAATCAGTTTACTAAGGACTAATAGCTTAAGATTTTTAAGTTCATTTAAAACAAGGATCCTAATATTGACATTCCAGCACCTTTGAAACAAGAGGATAGTTTATGCTAGAAACAAATTGCGAAGCAATTGATAAGATCTCTATAAACCAACCTAGATGAAAAAATAAATTTTTATGAGAGCTAAATTCTATATCAATAGATGAAAGCAAAAAATTCTCCACAAGATTACTATAGCTATTTGAGCTTAATGTTTGGAAAAGTTTATCTTTTAGTTAGGATAGGCTAATTAAGAACTGCTTTTGAAATACTTCAAAGCATTTCTGATGTTTTAGGAGATAATTAGAGATTATTTATTGAGTATGATATAAATAAAGATATCAAGAAATTACTGGTTGATGATGTAATCTCTGGAGTCAGGCATTTAACTTAAAAATTTAATTTATGGGATTGGAATCAATATCAAGTTATTGAACATATTTAGACTTCTCAAAAAGTTTCACAAATCTAAGTATTCTATTGCTATTTTTGGACTGTTTATGTAATGTTTCAAAAAATAACAGTCAAGCCTTAGGAGATTTTAATGGATGTAATAAAGTATTTCATAGCTTTTCATAGAATAGTCAATTAATATTTAGGTTTGTTATAAAAAGAAAAACTCTTATAAGCTCTATGGAGCTATTAATACCTAAAATAAATCTTCTCAAATATCATTGAACAGCCTGGTTTTAATATAAAAAGCATATCTTAAAAAGGCTTGATTATGTCTATTATTAACAGTACCCTGATTTCTTTAGATTAAATTTAGTCCGAGATAAATATAAGCAAAGAAAAAGAATAAAGTATTAAAGAAGCTCTCTTGATTGATAAATCATGCTCTGTAGAAGATTATTTGATCTTAGAATATGATAAACTTTTCTAATAAACTAGTTAATTTGGAGAGAGATTGAGATAGGCCATATAAATAAGAAGATCTTAATTCAAGGATCTGGGATAGTCTATTTAAATCAAAGATTATTATAATTGGCCTTAAATTGGGCTCAATTTGATAAAGAAACTTGATTATAATTCTGGGAAATAAAATTCCAACTAAAAATTCATCTGCTTAGTAAATAGACTACTTATTGATCAAAGAAATTTTTCTGATAATCATGAAAAATTAGTTAAATTCTATTCTGAATCAAAGGAAAAAATAATAGCAGACTAGGTTTTGGAATTTAGTTTACAAAAGCTCAGGCATCTTGTAAATAAATGTGACTATTTATAAATTTAAAGTAATAATAAAAGTGGGGAACAATACGGTGATATATCTATTTCAATTGATGGACTACCTATTTTATTAATGCTTAAAACTCCATAAGGTTAATTTTTAGATAGCAATTAAAAAAATCAGCCTTTACAAGTAACAGCAAATATTGAACTGGATTTTGATAATTAAAACTATCTAATGCTGAACTGCTAGAATACAATTAGATTAAATGTCTAAGGTTAATTAAATAATGTTCAACAAATCAGATTATCATTTCCTTTCAAATAGTCACCAGCATCAATTCAGATCTTGGAATTCGAATTGAGATCACTTAAAGAATAAGATAAAAATATTTCTCAATTAAAAGAATTCTATTAAATTCAATAAAGTACTATAAATTTCAAGCATGATGATTTTCACATTACTGACAAGACTTAGTTGATTATTTTATTCGATTTAAGAACTCTAAAAGACTTTGAATCTCTTAGACCGTTCATAAATACTAAATAGCAACTTAAACTTTCAATCGATATTTTGCATGGAAATGATAAAGCAACTTCTTTAAATGAAACTAGCTCATTATAGCCATAAAGCCTGAGCTTAAATAAGAATTAAAGTGAGTAATCGAGTGGTCCGCCAATAAATAAAATGGAAAAATATCATAAATCTTTTAAGTTATATGTCATCGATGCTTTTGATATTCAGCTCTTACATAATAATAAAGTCTGTATCATTAAAAATTTAAGTTTTCAAAAGTTTATGGCTGAAAATGTCAAAATAATTTCAGAAAAGGATGTGGTTGAAGAGCACAAAATAGATTTAAATAATCATGATAAGACTTTGGCAAAGATTCTAGAGCATAGATTTCTGTTAAAATAAAAATTGGAAAAGAATTAAAACTTGAGAGTTGAGGTTTAATTACTAGAAATAAGAAATAAGAGATAAATTAACTATCAAAAAATTATTCAAAAGTCATCAGAATTAATGTTGAAACCACAACTTAAAACTACAAAAGAAGAAAAATTCGTGGTCAAATATAAAATTACAGAAGCAGAAAATTTGAATGCAATGTATAGGAAAATCTTGATATCTTACTCTATTTTGAATGAGAAAAATTTTGACAGTGCAGAATTCAATCAAGATTAGGTTAATTTGCCAAATCTTGTTATTTTAGATCAGCACAAGAAAAAGTTTACTGATAACTAATTTGAAATAGTATGCTTAATAAGCAATCAATTTGATTTATCTCTGCTATCATTAGGAGATATCCCACGACCAGTTTTATTTGTGAGTGATTTAAAAGAAGCTTTTGAAGAATCTCATTATTATTTAGAAAGAATTATTTGATTTAAGATATTCAGATATTCATTATAGTTGGATGTGTGGGGTTTTGGGGTTTTGGGGTTTTGGGG